AAGAGTGGAGATGAAGGGGAAGAGATGATGAAAATGTGGGAGGAAAATGGCGTAGTGGGGAATGAAAATGTGAAAATGGTATTAAGGGGAAAAAGAGATCAGATAACGGGAAAAAAAGAAAAACAGGATAAATTATTTAAATTACAAAAGAAGACATACAAAAGAGTGGGAAAGAAAAGAAAAAAGAAACTAAAGCTTTAACAGCAGTAACAAAATAGCAAGCTGGTATTTTTTGAGGGAATGAATACATATGGCACACATTTTATTCTACCGTCTCAAAAGATGCATGGAGGTGATGGTCAGTAATTCTCCACTTGTGACAAGTTCATCATTTCTCAGGATTATCCGTGGAAGAAAAAAAAGAACAGAAAGTTTTCAGTATGCACGCTACCATCTGTTTAAGGGCTGTATCCACAGCAACTAGAAACCAAGATAAAAATCAGTCACCATGTAACCACACTCCCCTGAGAAACTAGCAACGTAAGAGAATTTTTTCAGTTTCTAACAACATATTCAGACACAGTATCACTGAACATTTAAGGGCTAAAATGAGGTACATCAAGTAATGAAGCTGGTGGTTTATGTTCAAATTCTACCACATACTTAATCTGCTCCTCGAAGTTATGGGTGTCTGACAACCCAGCACTCACAGGCACAGCTCCATGCTTCAGGCTCCTCCAGACCAGAACATTTCAGCTAGAGAAAGACTGAGAAAGGTAAAGCTTAAAGAGTTGCCAGCAAAGAAATTCTGGGGTGGCTGGTTTGGTGGTTTTTTGTTTGTTTTGTTTTGTTTTTTCTGGTTTGGTGGGGTTTTGGGGTTTGGTTTTTTTTTTTTGGGTAGAAAGCATCCAAAGTGAATTCTGCTTTGGATAAAAGAGCTCAGTGAATAGCAGGGGGAAAAAAAAAAGATAAAATTATTTCTTTCCCCTTTTTTTTTAAAAAAAAAAACCTTTTACTCTTTTCGTGTTGGCTTGTGTAACTTGTCAGGCTCATATTCTTCAGAATTTCTTGCAAAGACCTGAAGAATAAGCTTACCACAAAAGGCTTCTATCTAAGAAAAGGGCCTCCTTATAGCCAGAACAGAGTTTGCCACATTGTGCGGACAATGGAGCACCATTAAAACCACCTATCGTGTTCTTATGTTCTCCTTCCATAATACTACCAATATACAGGGAAATTGCACTGTCTCTTTTCTCAAACAGAAGAACTGAAGAGTAAAGGAGTAGGAGGAATGAGCAGAGCAGCTTCTCAAGGGGCAGCTAAACAAAACTGTTGCACTACGGCATACAGAGGAAAGTTAAAGTTCACTTCCCTAGCCAAACAAAATGGAAAGCAGGAAAGAAAACGCTAAATTTATCTCACCTATGCCACACTACCTACAGACAGCATATTGGGACCTCATAAATCTGTACAACATTCTCCCAGAACATCATTCAAAGCCGTATTTGATGCCTGATATATACTTTGTACTTTTTATTATTTTCAGTTTCACAAAAAAACCTCCCTAAGAGTTATCAGCTTCACTCCCACAGGTAAAAATATCATCTAAATTCCATCTGTAATGTGATGTTCAACTGTAATGTTCAACTCCACTGTCTTCAAATTATACCTTTCCAAGCCCCTAAAGGTAAAAGAATTGCCCAAGTACAGCAATCCAGAAAATGGTTTTCAATTTTTTAAATATTATTTTGAGATTGAAATTAGCCTGCATTTCATTTTTAACCACCACATCTCAACATTTGTGAATCATGCTTTTTGTGATTTAGTTGATGGCCAGCAAATTCGGTGAGCGAGTAATATAAAAAAAGGCTGGTCAAAAGCTTTCATGACATAGCGTTTCTGAAGAACCTCTTAAAACATTCATACATTGATCCCATTGCCTTCCGATCACTGGTTTCACAGATTAGCACTGTCAGTTAACTAAATGCTGTGCTCAAGTTAAAGGTCAAACATGAAGGTAACTTGAAAGTGTTTTGGCAACTTGTAAAGGGAAGTGTCTTACTGATGTTCAAACAACGTTCATTTATCTTACTTAAAGCCCTCCACCTTTTTAAAGAACTCTACGTGAAGTCAAACATGAAAAGACATTTTTCCACTTTCATTGTTCATAGCCTAAGGAACGGAGAAGCTGAGAAGAAAATGTTATCAATTCTTCTTTTATCATTTACTGTTCTGAACTTATTTACCACTTCTTGCAATTAAAGATATATTATAAAGATTGTCCTTCCTAACTGGAAATGGCTTCTTCCGCCTTTCTGAAGAAACTTGGCTGCACTCCTGCCAGCAGCTTGTAGGCCAAGAGACACTTTCAATTCATTTTCTATTACAACGGCAACATTCAAGAATTGAGTAATTTCTAGTTCAGTTTTTATGTTAAAACTTAACATTCTGATGGGAATAGAGAAAAGCAGATTAGGATCTTTCCATTTAAGGAACAATTTCATTGGATTGAAATGTTAAGAAATCATGGAAAACAGAACTATGTTATCAGGGACTGGAAACAAAGATTCATACTCCAGTTGTTGGCCAAAGCTTTATGCCATCTCACCTCTAATTCTGGCAACCTATCAGCAGTAACATAGCTATACCTACTTGCACTACACTACCTCGGACATGACGAGAACTTGTGTATCAGTACAGAGTTGTGTTTCAGGCAGAAGAAACTCAGTAAAGGCTTCCAATTGCTAGGCTGTAATTAAATTACGAGCAACATATCTTCACATAGAGCAATGCAAGACCTATGTTGTCCACTAGGTTTGATAGTAGTAACACATACATCTAAGATACAGGAAAAAGTGAATTGAGACACCATCTGCCTTGTTCTATTGCCCTACAATGCAAAGTATGCGAGTTATCTGCATTTGCTGGTTTGACCAAAACAGAAAATAAAAAGGCTCTGCTATTCTATTCAATAAGGAAGTAAGAGCATTAAACGTGGCAAACAGAAAGTCCCTGTGCTTGACCTCCGTAAGAAAGTTATAGAGTTTAATTTCTGCACTTTCTCAAAAGAAACAAGCCTTATTCAAAGTACATCTGCAAACAAAGGAGTTACGTAGACAATTTTCAAGCTCTCTGAAAAGGATGCTAACAATACCAATACTCAGAAGAGTCAGTAGCATTTTGACTTCCTAACTTTCTACAATGGCTCTTACTAAAGACCACCAAGAGGTAGTCACTTTACCTTTCAGCCTCAGTTTTGGTGAAAGAATGCCAGAAGCACTGATAGCCTTACATGATTGTCTGACATTCTGCTTAGACCTTGTGAAGCAGTTTTAACATACAAAGCTACATAAAACACTTAAATGGCTATTAGCAGTACAACAGTGTATGAAAGCCTGATGGAGAAGAATAAAGACATATGTTATTTTTAAGAAACAGGAACCACAAAAGATATATGAACCAAAAATGTATTTTTCCCATAACTTAATATAATCCTTACAGAACATATATCAATACCTGCTGCTGCCTTTGCCGCCTCATTTGGGCAACCTGAGACATCATGATTTGACGATCCAGTAACTCCATTCTCTGTTGCCTCTGGATGTCAACTGTTGCTCCCATTCCCACTCGAACTTCATTTGTTGGTTCCGCAGATGAGAAGATTGGTTCAAGAGTCCAAGAAAATATCTTTGCTACCCAGCTGGGTACACAAAGAATTCGATGAACTTTTAATATACTGCTATTGTAGCAAATCCCAGAAACCTAAAACAAAAAATGAAATGTTAAAAAAAAAAACACCCAACAAAAACTTAAATACACCAAATTTACTTTGTAGTTAGCTGCAGATAGCAGTTGGTCTTTCTGTTTTTTAAAGAACTTTTTATTGTATTTACCCAGAGTTCTCAGTCAAGAATCAGAGGAAGAATAGGGGATTTCTTTACCTCCAGCTTCCTCACAACTACAGATGATTACTTTTTAAAATCTGTGTACTGCATTGCCTGTGACTCAGAAAGCTGCTTGGGGTTTTTTGTTTGTTTCAGAATTTGAGCCCAAACCAAGCAACCCCTTCTCAAACAGGTCAAAATTAAAACAAAATTTTCATTTCTAGTAAAGGAACTGGTCAGGGTGTGCTGCATGCTGACCTGAGAAGATTAAGGCTGCCCTTCAGGATGCTGAAACATTGTAAACACGCCTTAAAAAACCAACCTCCTTACGGCTTCTGCCCCCACCACCAAAGTCTCTCCTTCTAGTAAAAACAAAAGCAAACCAGATGATTTGAAGTTAAATCTAAGAGTACACACCGACTTATTCCAAAAGGATCCCATCTACCTTCTAGGAGAAAAAGAAAGGTTCAAAAACCAGTTCACTAAAAACTGTGATATTGAAAAAGCCAGTTTTTGTGATGCCCTTCTCCCACCTATAAGAAAAACACCCTTTCCCTGTGTTCAAACTTGTGCTTGCCTTGGGGCTTGATTTCATTTCAGATTCAGGAGGAGCAACAGAAATCCATGTGCCCCATAAATGATCTACAGTCATCATTTTAAATCCCATTACGAAGCCCTAGCACTTGAGCCCAAAGTGGTCCAGCAGGAAGGCCAAAGTTCTTGCACAAAATCTGAGGCTGCATTCTGCTTTATGCCACATTTCAGTATTTGTGACTATTTATTGTCTGGTATGCCGTAAGAATTATGCTATGAGCACAGAGTGAAATGAACAGGAAGACATATAAACCCAAACCAATCTGTAAACATACCCAAACAATGCAGTTATGCTAGAAGCAATGTAGAAACTCCACATCTGGGCCAGTTATTTGGGGATATTTATTTTATCTCACTGACATTTGTATTAATATACCAAATGCATTGCTGCATATACAAAGGGAGACAGTATAGGAAAATGCAACATTCTTTGGGAGGGGGATATTTTTCAGATTATTTACAAGGTTATTGTTAATTATCCAGTGAGATAATGAAACTTTTAACAAAAGTACATTCTGCTTTGGGAAACAGTGATTTTCGTTTTATTCTGCTTTCATTTTATGACTGCTCTCAGGGTTGGATGTGACACTAAACATGGGCTACCATTCTAAAATGAGAAAGAACAGTTTCAAACTACTCTTAACCCCTTCAATCTTTTTGTGCTATGAGGAAGGAGGTAAATGGGATGGGATAAGAGGAAGGCCATAAACTCTGGCATCATAGTGAAGGCTGCCTTTAACAAAAATTTTATGTATTCAAAGAAAGGTCCTGACTGGACTCCAGGAATGACAGGCTGGAACAGAAGCTTCTTCATGACCTCAGAAATTCTTTCCTCACCTCTAGTGAAACTGTTCCAGATGACTGTAAGCCCATGACCGAGGTTGCACACATCAACTGGAAACTAATAACTATAATCGCCAAAGAGTAAGTGGAGGAAAATTTGTATCACTTCTGCAATTCATCTACTTTTGGTATGCAGTACTTGAGGTATCTATCTGGCAAGAAAGTCTCTCAGAAGCTAACCACTTATTCCCAAGAGAGTTATGTAGATAGACTCCCCACTCAAGAAAATCTAGACTGTAGGGCTACCAGGAACGTCCACTTTTTTGGGAGGAAGAATTACTGAACCAGGTTGCAAATATTACATGTACATTTAATCTGATGATTTCTTAGATGCAAAATGCACAAGCAGCACCAGAACCTACAAATTATCTTCCTTCCTCCCACCTCGTATTGTTAGGCTATGGAGCCAGGCCCTCTCATTGGCCCCAGGGATTCTGCATTCCTGGTTGCACAGGTGTAACCAGGCAGGGAAAGCGCTCCCACTCAAAATACGTTGTCCAACATGACACGAGCATTCCCTCACTTCTTCCAAATGTCCCTGCCAGCTACGGATCTCTGATCACTCTTATCACCTGCAGTCCTGTGTTAAGATCTAATGTTTTCACGGCACCCTAAATCTTAAAACGGGTTCAAAAAGTCACAAGAACAAGACAAAGAAGTGGTAGGAAAATCTACACGTGTCTGAACACATTAACCACAGAGTCACTCTCTTATCAACTCAAGATAGAAAATAGAGCAAAGAGATAGCAGCAGCATGTCTTTAGTGTCAGTACTTTGGGACTTGTTTGTCTCAGAAGGGAAAGTGTACTGCAAGCACCAACTAGTAGCTGCATCAATAAAAGCATTCTCGTATTTTTCTAAGTAGAGACGGCTAGTCATAGAATCATAGAATCATTCAGGTTGGAAAAGATTCTTAAGATCATCGAATCCAACCGCTAACCTAACATTGCCAAGTCCACCACTAAACCATGTCCCTAAGTGCCACATCTACACATCTTTTAAATACCTCCAGGGATGGTGACTCAACCTTTTCCCTGGGCAGCCTGTTCCAGTGCTTGATAACCCTTTTGGTGAAGAAATTTTTCCTAATACCACATCTAAAGCTCTGCTGGCGCAACTTGAGGCCATTTCCTCTTGTCGTGTTTGGGAGAAGAGACCAACATCCACCTCATTACAGCCTCCTTTTAGGTAGTTGCTAAAATGGAGAATGGCACTTAGCACTGCATGTGAGACTCATACACATGGTTCCTACCTGCCTTCCTAGCTTTACTGAACTCATTGGAGTAGCATGCCTGGTCTATAGCCAATGCACCAGTTGCAGTGGGCTGTCTTCTTTCTCCTTGCTGCTCCTCAACAGCAGACTAGTGTCTTGGCCCCTCCTTGTCCTGCCTTAGACAGAACCTCATTGCATAACCCAAACATGTGGACTTCTGTGTTCACAGAGCAGGAAGTTGAGAAGTCTGACAATATGAAGTTCACAGTAAAATCTAACATAAAAAGCACCTGGTGAAGGAACAAGACAAAACCGTGTGGGACTAGCAGAAGAGAAGTGTATCTTCTACATACAGTTGCCAAGAAACTTACTGTGGACCGGTAATTGTTCAGGGCAATCGTGTGAGACTTGCAATTCTTCACAAGTATAAACAGATGGAAGGACAGACTCAGTGGTGAAGAGCACCAAGTGCACACTGGCAATCCACCTTGTTACCTCCACAGCTGTTAGGATTTCAGTGCCACTCCCCTTCCTCTCTCCCTTGATTTACTACTCTGATTATAAAGCTATTAGGTGGAAGTACAAGACACTTCAAATGCTGTGCTCAGTTTTAACAAATTTTCAAGAAGTTTCATCTAGTGAGGAAGAGATACCTGTATGCATATTTCCAATAAACCCAGAATGGAGGAATCTGTAGTTAAAATAGGTCTTGTGATTCAGTCTGGTTTAGTGTCATACACTCATCTTAATGTCAAGTATTTCCAAAGAACTTCCTCTTTAGCTGGTTCATATGCAGAACTTGATATATATCATGTAAAGAAAAAACCCAAGCTTTGACAAAGTATAAAGTAACTTTTCATACCATTTTTGTTATAGACTTGTAGTGAATTTCTAGTGTTTAAGAAAGTAAACCAACTTTTTTTATTCAATGAAGATAAGATGATCTCATTCTATCTCAACTTCAGCACTGTACATCAGATTAAAGGGCTACTTCCCCCAAAGATGAGCCTCCAGAGTATTTTAGGCTCTAAAAAGTCACCACAGAAAGACACTGCAGCTAAGTTCACATTGTTAGAATGGAGAAATTTTGGCTGGCAACATAAAATGCATCTTAGTTGTTTTCTGTTAGTCACACCACCATAACCTACAACCTCATCCACCACATCGTATAAGGCGCAATGCTAAGCAGAGGAAATGGAGTATGCTGGAAATTGTCTGGCACACTGCAGAAAAAAGTGTGCTTATATTTGTTCAGTTTCTTAACATCATGGCTTACTACTGGTCCTTCACATTAAGTCTCCTAACCTCTTCCTGCCCCTGTATAAAGTCCAACTTCCCCTCGCCTTCCCTCATGTCCCTCCGAAGTTGCACACTTTTTAGAAAAAGGAAGTGGCTGTAGTTTCTCTGTTACATTAGGTAAACCAAACATGGAAGCTCTCCAATATTTTACATGACAAAGACACATATGCTCCACTACTACCTGAGATATTTAAAATCACTATACTTGATTAACACTAAAAAAGGAAATAAAATGGAAAAAACAGTAAGCAGATTGGTATAGAAAATGATGTTGAAAATTATTTTGCCTAATGGTTAGAACTTGACAGCAAATACCCAATTATTTTGTTCTGAATAATTTAAATATATTCATCATATGTATTCAAGACTTTGCTCTTTTCAGATAACAACAAATTGAAAGCAAACAGCAGTATCCTTAAGGTGAAGTGACATTTTTATACCTATTTCATCTGCTTTATCCTTAGTATGTTCTGAATTCTATACAACTTGAATCAAAACAAGGGGTTAAAGTTTGTGTCGTGATTCTGTATTTACCTTGATTAGAGAAACACATTTATCAAGCCAAGAGAGATCATGTGAAAACCACCCAACAAATAAAACCACTACACATGTATTTTCAACTTGTAGTTATAACCTGCAACGTAACTGTAACACAACAGATTTGTTTGGGTGTTCTTTGCAGAAATAGTTACTAAGAGTATAAAGAGCCTTTTGCAATAGTTAGCTTGGCAGAAAAATAAGATTATAATAATAATAATGAACTAATTCTCTTCAATTTCTTTCCCAGTTGACTGGGCTCGTAAATTTCCCAGATACCTTGAATTTTTTTCTTCAGAGTCCATTGATGCTGTCTTCATTGGTCAGGTGCAATCATTATCAGATCTCAATCTTTCTTTGGGTATGTGCAAGCATGACTGTACTGCCATTTC